GGTATGATGCGTAAATTAATCTTCATGTCAAGGGTAAAAGAGTAAATTTTGTGTGAGTCTAGTTCACTCTACAAGCATGCATCTTTGGATCTGAAATTACGAATTTTGAAATCAAAATATAAGTGTTTGGCAGAAAACTTGGTAAAATGATAACAAATTTGGATTCTTTTTCATTTGTTTGGACAATCATCAGACCTATGGGTTGTGTTGTTGGTTCTAGGAATTGATGAATTTAGTTAATTATTTCTTCTCATCTGTCTCAACTTATCAGTTAAGAACTCAAATGGTCAAAATATTTGTTACTTGATTGTTTATTGTTGTTTATTTTTATAACATCATTATAATAGGTGTTAGATAAACTCAAAAGCAGTCTAATTTGTTTAGACATATTGGTGTTAAATCTGAATTTTTAGTTAGGTGATTTTTTTTCTAAGGACAATTCTTTAATAAGAAATAAATGAAAGTAGGATGCTATAATAAACATATCAATAAAGTACATTGTTATAACAAAGACTCTAAAATCCTTACAGTGAAAAAGATGTTTATCAATGCATTTTTTTTCTTATTATACCATTCTACTTCTATTTCTTTAAATTTAAAGTATTCAACTTTCATTTGTAAGACATTATTCTTTGAAAAATATACCCAATGATAGCATTGTACTTCCAAAAATGCAATGCTCTAAAATCAGGGAAAGTATGTTGCTATGTTTGGATTAATTTCTAAAAATGCAATGCTCGATTATGATAAACAGTGAAAGTAGAGTGCTTTAATCAACAAATCAATGAAAGTACTTTGCTATGCTCACATAGATTTCTAAAACTACAATGCTATAGTATGATGAAATATGAAAGAAAAGATGAACTGTTTTACTTTTAATGTTGATTAAAATAACTCCAACTGTGGTAATTGTTACAAAAATGGTCCATGTTGCAGAAATATATTACAAAAATGGTCCTTATGGTAGGTAACTGTTACAAAAATGGTCCCAGGAAAACATGACAAAAATGGTCTTTTAAGAAGCTGTTAAAATGGTCCTTGTAGCAGGGATATATTATAGAAATGGTCCTTCTGGCATGTAACTGTTACAATGGTAAGTACTTTCAATTAGAATAACCAATTGATCTATGGTTCTTTTTATGTGTGATTATTATTAGTGATATTATTACATCTTTTTTTGTGATTATTAGTGATATTCTTATATATTTTTATGTGATTTATTATGGTTATATTACAGGAATTGTTCAAGATGGATAAATAAGAGGAGCAACTATGCAAAGTTCATCTTTATGTCAACTTTTGTGTCTCTTTCCAACAAGTATTAAATCTGATAGTTTAATATTTTGAGTAATTACTAGCACAATTTTAAACTTATAATAGCTTTTTGGAATATATTTTTGTATTAAATATTGAGAATATTACAGTAAAAAAAGTTAAGTATTAATTTAAGTAATGTTTTTGTGTTTTGCGTTTATTATTTTAATTGTTTTTTTATTATTTTATATTCCATTTAAATTTATGAAAAAAACATCGGATCTAATTTTGAAATATAAATGTTTTGTGGTAAAAAAAAGTGTCGCTAAAACATAAAACTTGTTTTTATTTTAGCAATTATATAGTGGCATAGTGTCACAAAAACCAAAAGTGCTATAGTAGCACAAAAAAGTGTCACTAAAACCTAAAAGGGCTGCAACGACACAACAAAAAAGTGCCACTAAAAGCCTTTAGTGGGAGCGCTTGTAGTGACACTTTTTTTTGTGTCGCTGATTCCCAAGGGTGTTTTTAGTGACATTTTTTTGGTTTTTAGTTGCACTTTTTTTGTGCCATTAAACTTCGTTTTATTTGTAGTGTAAGAAGGTACTAAGCAAGTTTGAGACTTGATTACCAGAAAATGATGAGGATGAAATGGAGTCTTTGGATCTACTATCTTCTCCTTGAATCCTCAAGATTCTCCTTCCTTCACAAGCTTCAAAACACACAAAGTTCACTCAAAAATGGCTTACAAGCTCACAAATGCATTAGGGTTTCTGAATCTAGGGTTTAGGACTTGAAGGCTGGAAATGAGGCCATCAAGTGAGGATTAGGATGCTTAAATAGGGTGCAAAACCCCGAAATTAGGGTTTCATCCTGGCAGCCCTACTCGTAGAGTTGAGGCTCTCAACTCGTCGAGTAGGTGACTTAAAATCTCGCGTCCATTCTGGTTTCTACTCGACGAGTTTGGGGCTCCCAACTCGTTGAGTTGCACTACAAAAGTGAATAAACTATGATTAAATGTGTCCCAAGAACCAGGAGTTACATGTTGCCAGACGCGGACATGCATTGGCGTAGTGACCATCTTGGCGACAAAGTTGACAATGTGGAGGGCGGCGACCATGACCCCGTCCACCACGTCCACCGGTGTTGTTGGGAGCATGAGAAAACTGACCACCACATCCCTGAGAAGGAGACGAGGGACGGTAGGTTTGAGCCGAGAAAGCCACCGGTGTTGTAGAAGTGCTATGAAGGATATGAATGAACAACTCATGGCTTTCAGCCCTAGCCAAGAGATCGACAAAGGATGGAGCAGGTTGAGACGAGCGGATGACGGTGGAGAATGTCTCAAAAGATGGTCCAAGACTACAGAGAAAGCTGTGAATTTGATCATTGCTGTCAACCGGATAAGCAATGGCGGCTAACTGATCGCATAGAGTTTTAAAATGACGACCATAACCAGCAATGGTTTTTGAATCTTTTTGAACCAGGCCAAGTTGAACGCGAAGATTGTGTACCCGTTCAATGGACGAGTTGCCATAAGCAATCTCTAATGTAACCCAAATCTGACCTGCCATAAGCAGTCTCCAATGCAACCCAAATCTGAGGAGCAGTTGAAAGACCTATGATAACCGTGACAACCTCTTCAGATAAGGTAGCGTTATTGTAAGTCCCGATCTATAGATCCAAATCAGTGATCAATGAATTGCAAACAATCAAACAGAGTGTAAAAGGAGTAGAAGGAGAATAAAGCCAAGCATGCACACATCTATTACGTATAAATGTCAGGTACACCTTGGGAAACACACACACATACGTCGTCCACATACGTCACCTAATACAGACACAGACACCTACTATTTATAGAACACCCAGCAGTACACCAGTGTACAGCCACACACGCGTGTGCGGCCGCACACAGGGTGTACGGCCGCACACACATGTACGGCCGCACACACATGTACGACCGCACACAGCCACACAAAAGTTACAACCACGATAACAAACCCCAAAGCCTACCAAGACCTATACAAGATGAATGCCTAGCTCAAACCACAAAATTGTGACCTAACAGTTATGGTAATAATGGTGTGATGATCAGCGGCATACACAAGATTTTCGGTTGTTTTTTCATTGTCGGTGAAGGTTGCGACAGGGGTTGTGGATGAACCATCTACATGGGAGATGAAACTTTGATATGTTAGGAGATGAATCATTTGGTTTTTCCATAGTAACTAGTTTGAGGGGAAAAGTTTCATAAGGATTAAGTGAGCAAGGGAGTGGGGAAGGGTGTTATGAGTGGTGGAGGAGGAGGCAGACATGGCTGTGGAGGAAGGAAAAAGAAAGAAAGAAGGAATGGGCATGAGGGGTGGTCGATAGGCTTTGATACCATAAAACTCTTGAAGAAAAGTATTCTCTATTCCACTTAGCAAATGATTCAGACAAATAAATAGGAATTGCGAAAGTATATTAATGGTCTAAAATAACAACTTAGGAGTAGTGTAGATTTGCCGTTCTAAAATAATAATAATAATAATAATAATAATAATAAATAGGTAAATGAAAAGACTATAACAACTCTTCTATGAATGTGGTAGAGTAATCATCTTATTATCGTGAGGTTACCCACCCCATACACTTGCATCTCAAACTTTCTAATTCTTTAAGCATCTTTTCTGGAACTTTAGAAGGTGACATAAAAAATATACCAATGCTACCGAGAAAAGATTTCAACAAAGCAGTACGCCCGGTTTTTACCTTGCAGATTGAAATCAAAATATATTAATACTCAAATCATCAATTAATTGATACATCGATGCCAATAATTCACACCCAAACATGACATTCTAATTATACCTCTGCCTCGATTTTTTGATGATTACAGCTATTTGATACAACTTCAAATTACTTGATATATTTCAAAAAGAAAAGCTCAACTAATATTTGATTAGGCCTCCATATGGTTTTTCCAAATATGCCCCATTCTTGAGATTCTTCACTGAATTCACAACATACTTATTATTCTTCACTGAATTCACAACATACTGATTTTTTTCATTTTCTTTATTCACATTCTCTGCTTATTCTCCCGTTATCAAGTAGCATCATATGCATTTACAATGGGCGAACGTTTCCTATATCCGATGTTTTTAATAAAAATATTTTCCGTGTCTTTTGAAAACTTGAGTAATCAGTATTGTTGTTGTACTCAACCATTAAAAATTATCAAATTTTGAGAGATGTAAATTTTGTTGGTTTTTGTAAAATTCTAAATTAACTTACTCAAGAAAGCCATTTTTATGATAACTTATCACCGTTTTTATTTTCTTGAACATCATTTATCATTGACGTTATTTTCTACCGATTTATTAATAATTACAAAATAACCTATATCATCAGTTTATAATTGTTCCCCATAGATTTATTACTAATTACAAAATAATAATAATAAAACTCTAAATATATTTTAATAGAAACAAACTATACAAAATACAAAACACATGCATAAAATTAGTTCATAATATAATTATTCTCAAGAAGTGCATTACGAAATAAAAAAGATGATATAATTCTGCTTTCGATTAATTTGCAATATCAAATGTTGAACAACGAAAACAATATACCAATTCTAATTTCAAAACACAAATTTTTTCTTGTTAAAACTTAAAAGAATCGTAAATGAAATCATTAATAGAAAAATCCCATTGATTACTACTACCTTAAAAATACAGAATCAAACAATATTCTTTCCTCGAGCCCATACCCAAAATCCTAAAATTCTAAAACCCTAAAACCAAACCCAAACCTAAAATCAAACCAACCCAACCCCCAAAAGCAGTAGATGCCACGCCTGAAGTCGCCAGAGCCGGTGCGTGCATTTTCGGTTTATCAGTACCTTGTAGCATGGCTGATGGCATCGGAGCCGATGCTGTTTTGGGAGGAGCCGGTGTTGTTGGGGGGAGGGTGGCCGATGCTGGTGTGGGAGGAGCGGCAGTGGAGTGCACGATGTGAGTCCGGTGACTCACCGCCATGACAACGATCCACAACTTTTCACCGTTCTCGCATTTACCGTCGTGGCCGCTGATGAAAAAGAAGGGACCTGATCTTGTAAATATGAAGGCGGAGTAACCATCGTTTAGGGTTTCTTTGGGGTCAGTTTTGTTGCAGTTGTGGTAAGCCTCTTCGTTTACGACCAAAACCGAATCCATCCCTTTCTTGTACTTGAAAACTGCAACACAACAAACAAAACACAAACATCGATCCATTAAACTGATCTTGACACCATTTGATTTTCAGTCATGCAAACATATAATTAAAGAGAGAGATTTCTAATTACCAAGTGTGTCATTGACTTGAAAGCGGTTTCTTTCAGCCCAATGGTTGTAGCTCTCACGAGGATCAATAACCCAACCATTTTTGCCACCAACATGGAACGTGTAGCCATAACATGACCTGAAGAACCCTGCGGATATGATGAACAGCAAACCGAAGCTTGTAAGCAGATTCATTTGGTGTTCCATAGATGAGAATTGTGTTTGTGTGTTTGGGAGATGAGAAATGAAGAAATGGCGTATTTATAATAGATACGCAAGTAAAGTTACCGTTGGAATGCATGGTAATCGCTTCATTCGCTTGGTTGGAGCTGAGTTGGAGGCCACGATTTTCATACCGCATATCATGTTGGTAAAACTGTAACGGTTATTGTAATTCAAATTCTGGATTTTCCTTAACAATCAGGATCAAGTCATCTATATACATACAAATACAATATCAACCTATAGATAAAAGATTCACCAACTTATCATAATTAAATAAACTTTTAACACTGCACTTTGCTCATATATACATATCCAGTCTTCGTTCCAAAACATGTTTTACTCATTGTTGAAGTGTCTGTCGAGCCAAAATTCTTCATATATCTAGCGTTTTAAGGTTGATCTGAATTAATCAATTAACAATTTAATTAACTGAAAAACAGCACGCGTTAAGGAAATGAAACTAACAAGTAACAATCATATATTCTAATCTAATTCAAAAAAAATTGTACATGTTAATTTGTTAATTAAATCATTGTGCTTATAAAATGAGTACCCACCCTACATCAAAAGTTTCACACGACTATGGTGAGATCAAGGCTCCTATTTTACTGTTTTAAATGTTTTACGCGGGTGGGTGGGTGGGTGGGCGGGTGACATGATCTCAAGGATATAATATTCTTAAAAATCCGACTCCAAAGGGAAAAGTTATGGATTTTATAAAATAGAAATTACCGCGTAATTAAAATTAATTATGTCAAAACGGTACTTAGAGATTGGTTAAGTTTGACTAAAGTGCAAAAAGGAGTTTCGTAGTACTCCTCAAGATATAAACTTTAGGAAAACGTTTGCCAAAAACGGGATTCGTATGAAAGAGATAAGATTTTTGTAAAATCATTTATTTTTACCCTCGTTAGGCATGAAAATGAAATTCAAAACTAGCCAAAACAACCTAAATGAGAGTTGTAGTACCCTTTGAGATCATCACATAAATATAGAGATGGCTTAGATCGCAGCTCGCACGAAGAAGTTATGATTTTTGCAAAATATTTTTGTGCGTGTCATGTGTGCGTCTCCGCACGTCGCATACCTGACACCGGATTCGAGTAGATTGCGAGAGACATGGTTGAGTGGATGAGTGACACGTGGCAACTTCCTGTGAAGCCACAATGATAACGCGCGGCGCGCGCATATATTTGTCCGGCATTCACCTCCAAAACTCAACTATAAATAGAAGGTAGTGTCATTCCATTTCTACACATCTTCAATCTTCTCTCTCACTCTCTATCTCGAAGCTGCTACCTTTATGAGCGATCCCCGGAGTCCCGAGCCCGATTCAACCCTACATCAAAGGTTTCGCACGACTAAGGTGAGTTCACGGCCCCTACTTTACTATTTAAAATGTAATAAGGGAGGGAAGGGGTGGGGGTGGGGATACATGTTTATCAAATGGTTTTATCAAAATATATTTATATCTATAAATATCAAATCATTTTATAAAACTTAAAGCCTTCAGATAATGTTGTTATAGATACTATGCCTACTTGTAAGCTATGATATTATGCCTAAGAGTTATGATGTCTGATAGTCTAGGAAGAGATAATACCTAAATGTTAGAATGACTAAATACCTAGGATAACGTAGTACCTAGAAGTTATGATAGTTAAATATGGGGATATGCACCGTACCTAGTTGTTACTCTGTCAAAATATATTGTTTTCAAATAACCATAATTAGGATATATATATATATATATATATATATATATATATATATATATATATATATATATATATATATATATATGAATACTTATATATACTTATGAGGTCAAAAGTTATAATTATCAAATATAAGATAAAAGATTTATATTGTGATAGTTATAGGAAATCCCTAGAAATGATAAAGATAAAAGATAAATACATAAGGTCAATGCGTTAGTGAGCTGTTGATATTCATCCAAAGGCCTTGATTAAATTCGGCATTCCCCGATACCTATAATCGTTAATTTCGCGAGAGTTAAGAAGATATGTATAGATCTATACGTGGTCTGACAACCCCACCTGCGATTGCTAGCTACAATCCCGGTAGGATAAATTTCTTATTATTCACTATTCGACGTCCAATGAAACGTCTTGGCGTGGCAAATTATTAGTCAAACAACGTCGATTATGGGGGCTCATGGTAATAAATTAGAACACCTTAGAGATTCGACTACCATTAGAGACGCCTTAGAGTGGTAGATAAAATATGTTATGATCGTTAGATATCCTACGAAGATAGTAAATTAGGATTAATAAATATATCCTAAAAATATAAAAAGATATAATCGTTGGATATTCTGAAAAGATAGTAAGCTAGGGTTGATAAAACACTTTAGGAAATGTTTTTCTAAAAAAAAAATGATTTCTTAAATTAATACAACCAAATAAAAGCCGAAAACTATAAAAAAAAAACTCGTGCATTCACCAACATTATGTTGATGTTTTCCAAAAATACATGTATTCTCATGGAGATGAGTGTGGAGGATAGTTGTGTCAAAGAGGAGGAAGTCTTCAAGGAAGCTACAGGAGTTTAGTTTCATCTGTTTATCGTTTCTAGTGATGTTTAGGTTGCGTGTTTGACTTTAAAACAATGTAATCACAGAATAATTTATAATAAATAAAGTAATGTTTGTGACAGCAAGGCCCGATCAGCTTAAACCCAAAACGGTCTTAGCCTAAAACTAACCGTTTAAATCATATGCCTTATACATTTAGCCCAAAATCTCAATCCTTTAAGGTCCAAATCTCATCTTTAAAATCTTGAGACATTCTCTTGACTAAATTAAAGTCTGTCATTGCAAAATAAAAAACATCCAGAAACCGGATATTACGGGTGTCTAGCTACAACAATGATTTTTAACATAATCTTATGGCAAGTTCGGTCTCGAACAGACCCGAAAGATTGGGACAAAGGGTTGTGTCCTCTTGCAGGGTCAAGGGGTAGCGCCTTTTGCTGGTTCTAAGGGAAAGAGCCCCTGACGGTAGTCCCGCTACAAAATTTCAGTTTCGAAGTGCAGTGGAAAAAGTAATAAGGAAAAGAAAGCATGTGTTGATTTGGTTCGGAACAACACAAATTGTTTAAAGTTTTCGTACAACTCGAGTTGTTTGACAGCCCAAGCTGGTGATTGGTCACACCCCAAGTTGCCTCCAAGGCTATATGGAATGGGTCCGTGACTCAATACGTAAGATGATGTGGCAATCAAGTCACCGGTGAAACACTATTTTCTATACCTAGTGAGTGTGAGTTGGCGTGAGTTGGTCTACGGGCAGTCACAAGGCTCTCTCTCGTACACACTCACACACTAGTAAACATCATTTCCAATGGTCTGTGAGTTAATATTTTGGGTGAGGTGGCACATCTTCACGTGTAGACCATTCCGAATAGCCTAAGCATTTTAAGTTGTCTGACGTTTTTTCCGGAATCTATTTTCTAACCGGAAAGTGTCATTTTCTTCAATCCTTTATCCTATTTTCAGATGTATTAATACATGTGTATATAATTAAAACACAACTTTTGGCACTTTGTCAAGATTTTGAATATTCCATATACTCTTTAATTAGTAACCCAAAACTGAAAATGTTTTTAAGGATTAACCATATTGAATATCTTGAAACCCATTCGTAAGTAGAAAACACCCTATTTGCACCTACAATTTCTAACAAATTCAGTATATTTAGTCACATAACTATAACAACATATAACTAGACTAGTATGAAAGGAAAGCTTATATTTTTTGCAAAATGGTAAGGGAGGCAGGCTGACAAGTGTCACTGTTTAATTACGTATTTTATTCAACAGTCGATGGAGCTACAAATATCATGTCCTACTATACTTATACAACTTACTATACATACATTAGTAACATGACTTCTTTCTATAATTAAAAATCCTAGGAAGAGCATCAGCGTGTTGTACGGTACAAGTTATCAATGCCTGTTTCCAGCATCATGAATATGAGTATGACCACAGGGAAGCTCAAAGCAGTCAACAGGATGTTCAAGCACTGCATCACATTCCTTCTTGCTCCTCTGAAGAGGCCTCTCCGGCAGACAGTTTCTCCGGTCATCCGCCACAATCCCCACCGACGTCAAATTCCCACAAACACCCTCTTCCTCAAAGAAATAGTTGTACGAAAACGTGAAGTTTACCAAATTAGGCAACTCACAAACACCCAATGGAACCACCCCACTCATCATATTATGCCCTAAATTTAGCTGCTCCAAATGAGCTAATCCTGCAATGCTGTAAGGTATTTCACCCACCAACTTATTCGAGCTCACATCCAACACCCTTAACTTGTAAAGAAACCCCACCTCCTGAGGCAAACACCCCGATATATTCGTGTTAATCAGCAACAGTTCTTCCATGGTGTTTGCGAAGTTTGCTATGCTTGGCGGGAGACATCCTCCCAAGTTGTTGTTCGCGAAAACCACCACAGAAGCCGTGCTCGACCCCAAATTCGAAGGAATCACAGACGTTAAACGATTGCTGTTGATGAAAATGGCGTCTAGGTTTTTGTTGAAGAGCTCCGGCGGCAATGGCCCTTCGAATTCATTGAAACGGAGGTCGAGAAATTTGAGGCTAGGGAGGGACATGACGACGGAAGGGAAAGGACCCACGAATCGATTGTTACTTAGGTCAAGCTCGAAGAGGAGAGTGAGATTCGATAAAGTGAGCGGGAGGATGCCACAGAAGCGGTTGCTGTTTAGATGGAGTAGCGCAAGGTCAGACAACAAGCCCAGTTCATTAGGGAGGAATCCGGCGATATCTGCATGGTTTAAATCGATTCCGGCAACCGTCTGGATATTTGTGTCGTTTGGATACGGAGCGCAGTATATTCCTGTGTAACTGCAAACTGAAGGCCCAATCCAATCTGAAGTTGTATTAAAAGGGTCGGAGTAAATCACGAGTTTCCATGCTTGAAGTGCAAGATAAGCTTGTTGGAGTCGTGGGTTTGATGCACTTGAGTCATGCTGATGATGGTGGTGGTCGTTGGTGGTGGAATGGCGGTGTTTGGCTGTTATGTTGGCGAGGTAAAGAATTAAAAAGGAAAACACAGCAGTAGTGGTAGTAACTAAAGAGCTTCTGGACGCCATTTCTTATTCTTGGTAAATGGTAATTATATGTTGTTAATTATGTGATATTTATAAGGAGATGTATCCTTAAACAACGTTATTGGGTGACAAAATTATTGACGTTTGAAAGTTTGATAGGATAAGAGGATCTTTGTAGGTTAAGAATAAATTGCAAGACAAATCCTAGAACAATCGATTGTTAATTTGAAAAGTGTAATGACAAGGAGATGACAACTTCCATGTTGTTTTCGATCAGTGGTTAAGAGAGAAAGACAACCACCGTTTGAGATGATGGAAGGTTAACTTGAATACAAAGGAATTCATAAATAAATTAGAACCCAAAAAGTCAAAAAGCAAATACATGAACATCAAATTCTCTATTTCTATTGGATGTTTTTGTTTCTTGTTTAATGCCATCAATTCCAATCAGCGTATTAAGGGATGGTGGTGGCTACTGGCGGCTGCAACAAGGCGATGGTGGTAGAATGTGAGAATTTTGGCGGGAGAGTGGTCAGAGGTTCATCTCCGGTCAATTTCTGGAATGCCATTCCGAGTGTATAACCGAGTGCACGCCCAACCGGAACCGCCACAGCATTACCCACTTGCCGGTATCTGCAACTCCCACCGGAATCGGAATTGGAATCCCATAAAAAGTATAAAAAGAAATATTCAACTATTAAAAATAAGAGAGTTTTGTTATACCTTTCATTAACAGTACCACATAGTGCATAAAAGTCGGGAAAACCTTGTAACCTTGCATTCTCACGAATAGTCAGGACCCGATCTTGTTCCGGATGTAAAACAGCCTGAAATCAAAGAAAATTCAAATTCATAACCCTATAAAATGGCTTTGTGGCATTTTATAATTTCAGAAAAATAAAAAAATTACCTCAACACGAAAATTTGGCAAACAGAAAACAGTGGAAACAGTCTCATCCCACCATAAACGTGCAAAAGATCTAAATTTTATTGGAAAAAAGTTGATGAAATGCGAGAAAGATAACAAGATTCATAAATAATAATCTACACAATTCGACAGAATTTCTCACCTTGCACTCTTCCTTTCTAATAAATTTATTGCATAATCAGGGACCTGCATAAATAAAAATATGATTTTTATAAAAAAAAAAAAAAAAAAAAAAAAGATAGAATGTAGGGAATGTAAGTTTTAAATTACCCAATGTTTTCCAGATGGCATGAGGTCGGCTTCAGGTAACCTGGTTACAGTATAATCATCATCAACAATAATGCCGGGGAGATCTTTAAAACTTGCTCCCTAAAAAATAATAAAAAACTTTAGAAAAAACCTAAAGCATATTAAAAAAGTAACACAACACCATCATACTAAAAGTAAGTAATAACCTTTGTTTTTGGGATTTGAGAAACACGCAAATAATCATCCTCGTTTAATTCTTTAGGGCGGTGATCGTGTAGTTTAGGCTTATGGTTCTCTATACAAGGGATTCCCAACATATCTGCACCACATTGGAATCAAAATTAGCTTTTTCTTTTTCTTTTATTGTTTTCATTTCATAAGAAATGTTTGAATATTATTGGTATAATAATTACATGTGACCAATAAACAAAACATTAAATAAACTCACCTGACTTTGTGGCCCTAATATATTTCTGAAACTCGGTTTCTGGATCACTTCCATACTTCATTTCATCACGAATTTCAGAGTTTGAGACCTGAAAGTATGTTGCTATTTCTTGATTAATAAATCTACTTTCATTCATAGCAAACATCAACAAGTGAGAGAAAGAGTTTATACAGGTGGAAGATCAGATATGGCATCCTTAAGAAGAACGCATTCCTCAAGATCCCGTGATTCCCCTTTATCATAAGCAACAACATTACGCTGCAATATAATATAAAACCACATTAGTAAAAAAAGACAAAAAAAACACTCCATAACCTGAATTCAATTAACCAGAGTTAGCACCTCAAAACCAGTTGGAGGCCCATACTTAAAGATGGCATCATGAGTCGGAAGTGGAAATGGTGGTAGATTCTGCATTGTAAATACTTATCAAATCATTTTATAATTTTTAGGTTTGTACTTTTTATAGTATTAATAATAATAATAATAATAATAATAAAATACTTGCCACGTCAGCATGAGCGCCCCACAAGAAGACACGCAAGCGGAATTGAGGGAGACCATAACAACCAGCCGCCATAATCCCAAGGCGTACTTGGTAATAATTGCGAACCAAGCAACTGATTGCGTATCTTGCAAGGCAACCATTTGCAAATCTCAAAATGTCACCCACATTTTCCATCAGAATAAATTTTGGCCTCAAAAAGTTTATAGTTTCCATGAATACTACAATTTGATAATTCCTTTCGTCTTCTAAAGGAGATTCGAAATTTCTATGGCGATTATAACCACTTATTCCTTGGCATGGTGGGCCACCACAGATGATGTCAACATCACCCTGCAAGCAACATCAACACAAGAAATAACTCTTTTTTATAATAAACATAATGTATTGTTGCAAATATTAGTTTAAGGGATTTGTTTATTTATTAATTATTAATATTAATACCGGACGTGGCAATATGTTTGCCTTCATTCCCTTCTGGACAAACTCATGAATCTTGTCCTCGCAGTTGCTATGAAAAAGAAAAATAAAAATTAATTATGGAAAACATAAGTAGGTAGTAGTAGTAAAGTCTGCGTTCTACTTCTACAACAAAATTGTTCACAGCATATAGAGTAAATTACAAAAAAGCCCTTGAACCAAACCCAAAAAAAACACTACCACAGGGACCAAATTTGTAATTTAATCTTAGTTTTATCGTTAAACTATTTTCTAAATTATAACGTATTTTATTTTAAATTATAAACGTTCTATAGGGACCATATGCGTAATTTACTCAAACATATAAATACATTACCTTAACTCCTGAAGTGGCTCCCATGTATCATCACTTGGACCATATCCAGCCCAACGCACCTGAAAATATTGTTTTTAGAAAACTTAATTCCAAATTCAAAATCTAAAATAGTAATATATATAATTACACAACGTTTTTAGCATACCTTAAATTTGAGCTCACGTTTATTTTTACCAAAATCAGAATAACATATATCAACCAATCTTTCAACTTCATATTCATCTTCTGCAACAATATGATCAGGCTTTGAGGGTATGCTGACATCATCAGCTGACTCAGCCAACATGGAATCTTGATCTTGATCTTCATCTTTATCCTCATTGACTGAATATTTTTTGCAGAGTTTGTCCCACTCCTTTATTAGGTCAAGAAAGTCTTCAGCAGATTCATTTCTAATCTGTAAAACAAGAATGGATAATCAGTAAAATTATAAAAATTTAATTTCATGAAAATGATTTTAGAAAAGCAAAATGTTACTACTGACTTGTGTCTCTGGATGGTTTAACCTCAAGCTTTCACAAGCATCTTTGTTGGCATCTACAGCCCATTTCTACATATAAATTTCAACACAAATTGGTAAAATAAAACAAAAAAGGGACAAATTAAGTTAAATTAAATGAACTCATTGTATCTTACTGTTGACAGATCTACCCCAGATGCCTTTGCTCCAAAACATAATCCTGTTGACATTCCCCCACAACCAGAATACATATCTAATAGTGACAATTCTGATTTTTTAGGTTTTAAATTATTATTTGTTCCATTTATGTTAGTATCATTGCTTCCGTTATTATGGATTTCCTCCTTAATACATGGAACATCTGTAACATTCAAAAAAAAATGTTAGGCACAATGAAGCATAAAAATGACATTAATGTGTTAATAATAACGACTTACCATCTTCTATTGTAGAAAATGTGGAGTAATCTATGTTGTATTTCATGTCATAATAATAATCACATGGTGGAATAGACTTCAAATTTACCTGTGAAATAAAATAGCAAGACATGAATTATGAGTATAAGAACAAGATAAAAAAAAATTGAACTATAAGTTTTGAACATACACCAGGTGCTATTTTGAGTACTTTGACTTTTGAGAGAATGCAATCTAATGGATTGTCATTCTTTAAGGTAGAATAGAACAACCGCTTATTGTCATGAGATGCTGCTTCATCTTTTCCTATTACCTGAAGAAATAAAATGCATTCATGACACAATAATATGGTGGATATGCTACAAAAATACTAATTTCATACACCTTACTACCTTAGATTACATTCTATTATTACCTACATAGATAAATAACAGTTATGTAAGTAACATATTACATTGCAGATTTCCTTTCATACAGGATTCTAAAAGCACCCCATTTGGAATAGAGAGCTGTTATTTATAGTCTAAATTAGCAGAAAAATAAAATTAAATATGTGATGTGTCATAGTCTCAAACTCTCAATGCATTTGAAAAGTATACAAAACATTCTTACAGTATCTTCAGCTCTGTAAAACCATTGAATTCTGAAAAAATCTTCATTTGAATTTGTCTTAAAAAATTCAAGTATCCTACCAACATGATCATGGCCACCTTCTTCACCCTGAAAGGAAAATAAGCACAATAAGCAACTATGTTCTTGACTTCTTGTTAATGGATTATAGCCACTTTAATGTTAGTATATGGAAAGTGATAAAAATGATAAAATTACCTTCACACATGCATAATCACCAAGATCAAATATATGTGACTCGATATTAGCTTGTAAATAATGGCATTTCACATTCAAAACCAACTTGTCCTCATTTCCATTATCATTGCTGCATCATTAAGTAACTAATTAACAAGAAAAACAAGTGTCTGATACTGCATATGAAATTAATTGCACCATTAGAGTGATCACTGACTTGGTGTTTGGGAAGCGACCTTTGCTTTTGAGTTCCTACATAGGACAATTAATTAGATTAATGAATCCAGACATACGACAGTTTAGATTAATAAATCCAGAATTCCAGACATACGACAGTTAATCAGATTAATTATTACAATCAAACAAAAGAATACGTTTCCATATGACTTAGTGATTAGGGCAATAATAAATCGAGTTAATTCAAGATCGGTCTCAACTTCGAATGCAATAAGCAATAAAAAGAATTTATAAAGCGAATGCAATTACAGAAAAATAACACAAAAATATACCCCACAATCGTAACGCCAAGGCCATCTCCGTCGAGCCTCTTCGTCGGGAACTGGATCGCCGATCAAGAAAGAGACATTATTGGGGAGGGAAGAAAAAGGTTCAGTAGTCCGAGCCTTCTTTTTCTTCGGAAAGTTATTAAAGTCAAAAGAACTGTCTGTGCCGCCGTTATTACAGTCAATAAGTCTAGGGGACCGTCTGCGTGAAATTTGGCCGGAATGCACAGCCGGGGTATCATGGTTTGCTGTTATAGACGATGGCTGTTGAGGTGACGGCGATAGTGGAGGTTTAGATGGTGGACGGGAATTAGACCCCTCACCACCGGTGCCGAAATGCACAGGCGGGGAATCATGGTTTGCTGTTACAGAAGATGGCTCCGGAAACAACAGCGAAATTGGAGGTTTTGTGGGTGGATGGGAAGAAGAATCCTCGCCGCCGGTGGCTAAACGCGCAGCCGGGGTGTCTTGGCTTGTTGAGCTTGGGAGAGAAGATGATTGTGGACATAACGGCGATAATGGAGGTTTTGAGGGTAGATGGGAGCTAGAACCCTCTTCGCCGGTGCCGGATGTTATAGAAGATGGGTGTGGAGACAGCGGCGATAGTGGAGATCTTGAGGGTGGATGTGAAGTAGAAGTAGAACCCTCGCCGCCGTTGCCATCAATATTACCAACCATCTCTGGTTGACTCCACTGAGACGGGAAGATGAGAAGGGTATTATGGGAAATAGAGTTTGATTCTGACAAGTGTGAGGGTGATTTGGTATACTGAAATCGCCAAATCGGGAATTAAATGGGGCAACACCGATAAAAATAAAATAAAAATAAAATTTGAGTTTCAAAATCTCCCTGATCTACATTCTCACACCTACTTCCCCCGCGCCCCTCTTTTCTTTTCATTTCAAATCTTTCTCTAGATCTCTCCATCTCATGAAGTTTGACCATGATGCATTATCATATACCATTATGAACAAAAAAAAAACCTCCAACTCTTTTTTTAACTCCAACTCGGCAACTATGCTTTTAAAAATCAGATATTTAGAACAAATATTTAAGACAAAAATGTAACAATGATCTGAGAAATAGACTTATTAAGGTAATTAACTTTTCTGTTTATTCACGTCTGTTAATTATATTTTTTTTGTACACATCTAGCTAACGAATTTTTTTGGAAGTGTTCACATATAACCGTTATGACCGGCTGTAGCAGGTTACATCCGGTCATAATGGTTATATGTGAACACTTCCAAAAAGTTTGTTACTAAGATATGTACAAAAAAAAAAATAGTTACCCAGATGTAAACAAACTGAAAAGGTAAGAGTAAATTACACGAATGGTCCCTGTAGTTTGGGTAATTTGTGTGTTTGGTCCCTAACTTATTTTTTAACTCGGATGATCCCTATTATTTATTTTTGTTGTGCGTTTGGTCTCTGTCTTACCTCAAAAGATTATTGTGCCCTTATTAACTTATTTTTTAATTAATTTTCTTATTATGTATTTATTTTGTATATATTTAAAAAATTAATAGACCTCACATATATGTATCTCCTCACCCACAACCCACTGTCTTTTCATTGAATTTTCCACCACCACAACCCAATAGAAGGGTTGTGGTGTTGGTTCGTCGGAATTGAAGGACTGAAAAAGGAATGGATGGTGAAGACGTCGATGTCACTAAAGATGGAAAGAAATAGAATTTGAGGAGGATGAGAGATGGGATGGTGACCGGTGGGACCCAGCTTAAATTTCTCAAACGTGGTTTTAGATTTAGGGTGAGGAGATACAAATATGTGGGGTCTGTTAATTTTTTTAAACATATAAAAAATAAATACATAAATAAGAAAATTAATTAAAAATAAAATAAAAAGGGCTCAATAGTCTTTTTGAGGTAATACAGGGACCAAACGCACGACAAAAGTAAACAGTAGCGATCATCCGAGTTAAAAAATAAGTTAGGGATCAAACACACAAATTACACAAACTACAATGATCATTTGTGTAATTTACTCTTACCTTTTGGGTTTGTTCAAATCTGAGCAACTAATTTTTTTGTACACATCTAGTTAACGAACTTTTTGGAAGTGTTCACATATGACCGTTATGACCGGATGTAACCTGCTACAGCCGGTCATAATGGTCATATGTAAACACTTCCAAAAAGTTCGTTACCTTGATATGTACAAAAAAAAGATAGCTATCCAGATGTGAACAAACCGAAAAGTTAATTACCTTAATAAGTCTGTTTCCCCCATAATTTTGGTCCAAAAAGGTTTTGACTAACCAATAGTTTACATGTTTGATTTTGTTGCGTTTTTGGTCATATTTTTTTTGAAAATATTTAAAATGACGGATTTACTCTTGATATTTTCTTTTTATACTTTTTTTATTAATTTTATACTTTCCTAATTAAAAATAAAAAAAAAGAAAAATAAATATAGCATCTCTCTCTCTCTCTCTCTCTCTCTCTCTAGAATACCCACCGCTACTGCCGGAAGATATGAACACTACTACTGCCAGAAAATATGAATACCACCGGAAAACCCTCGTTTTTTCCGGCGAGTTTTTTCCGGCGAATATAAACAACACCACCACCACCACCGATTTGAAAACCCTCATTTTTCCGGCGAACAAGAAGCCCCCATTTTTCCGGCGATTTTCAGATCTTTTGTTGGCAACTCGATTTCCAGCGTCGTTGAGGTTATCGAGCTACAAATCTGGCGAGCCTCATCTCGCGCCGCTTAGTTTATTTAGTTACAAATGGAGGCGACGACGTACCAAAGAAGACGAAAGGCGGCGACGACGTGAAAACCCAGATCGACGATGTCAAAGTGGTCTGATCTGAAAACCCTCAAGTTCTAGAGTTTAGATATGCGTTGATGACATCGACGACATTCCAAATCTGTAAACGTCGCCGTCTTCACAACCCGACGACAACTTTGTCTGAAAACTCGAGCCACAAACGACGCATCCGTCTCTCTCTCCTTTTTCGAAGAGTCTCGTTTCTCTTAGATCCGACGACTAGTTAGGGTTTTCAGATCCGACGAGTTAGGGTTTCCCAAACGACGACCCTTCTTCTTCGTCGTCGAAAACCCTCTGTTTCCGCCGTCCTTCTTCTCCGAAAACCCTAATCCATATGAGATAAGGTGACAGCGGGTTTCAGAAGTTTGTGATGGTTTCTGTCGAAAATGGGAGTTGTCGAAAATGGGGGTTATGAACATGGTTTATGGTGGAGAAGACGAACCAAGAAGGTGATAAAATGGTCTCTAGTGGTGGGAATCGATTAGGGTTTGTTGTAGATGATGGTGGCTTTCAGATCTGTCGGAGGTTGGTGGTGGGGGAGACGATGTGGGCTGAAGGCGGTGGTGGCTGACGGCGACGACGGTGGTGGCATCGACGATGACGTCAACCGACAGTAGTGGCATCGGCGTTTTCAGCAAGATGGGTATGGTGGCCGGCGATGCTTTTCTGCCACAACAGAGGGGGAGAAATGGAGTGTTGTGTAAAAGAGAAAGATGAAGGATAAAGTAGTATTGTTATTAATTTTTATTTTCTATTTCATTGTTGTAACAAAAGAAAATTGAAAAAACAAATTAAAAGGGGTAAATTCGTCATTTTTAAAAATATAAAATACTTTTGGACCAAACTAGCAACAAAATGAAACTTTTGGACTGATGATGCTAGTCTAAACTTTTTTGGACCAAAGTGACAATTTCGACATACCACAATGACCATTCTTGCAATTTTGTCAAAGATTTAAACTTACAAATTATGTTTATTGTGTATATTTTTTTTCTACAATTAATCGTTGTAAATAGATGTAATAAGTGTGTTTAACGCCTTTTCGATGGTTTTGGAATGGGTAAGTATCACGAACAATTGTTTTTTATTATGTGTCATTTTCATAGAATGTTTGCAGTTGTTTTAGAAAGTTGTTATTTGTTCATACAACAAATTAACAACACATGAAGAGTACATAACATGATGAAGAATAAAGAACAACACCATTTTCATTGATATAATACGTATGATTGATATAATACGTATGTAGTGATGTTACGGTCGTCTTGTAGGGAAGTTTGACAATGTTTCGAAGAATGTGATCTCGAATCGACACTTGTAACAACATTATGAATTGTTAGGCGAACCTTGGAGATCACTCCAACGGTTAAGTTAGTTTACATTATAATTTGTGTTAGAAAAATAAAAGGTCTAGTAGGGATAGGAGAGCACCTACTTTAGTGGTTTTGTAATAGAGGATAAACATAAGTTTGAGATTAATAAAATAGTTAGGTATTCAAAATTAAACCCTAAAGATTTTTATTTGTGGCATCTACTATAATAAATGAAGATCAATTTTGACACATGTCAATTTCTCATAAGTTTTGACACTTGTCATTTTATGATTTATTTAAAATAAAATAATATACACATGTCAATTTCTAGATTTTTCAATTTTTAAAATTAAAATAACATAATACTTATACTTATATATATATGTAAAGTATTAAATGTAATAAATGTGATAAAAAATTGCAATTAATATGTTTTTCATTCCTTATTTCAAAATTTTATTTTAAAAAATATTTATTATTTACAGTTTGATATTTAATCTTTTTTTAATCAACTCATGTATTACACGAGTTTTACACCTAATATTAAAATAAAGAAAATGAACCTTACGAAGTTGACAACTATAAATTAGCAAATGTAGGCATTGTTAGCATAATAATATTTTTGTGCTCATTTTATATTAGACTCTATCTTAGCCTATAACATTACTAGATAGTTTTTATATTTATAGTCGTATTTGTTTTTCATTGTATTATACAATTATCTAGTAATAATGTAATTTTAACCGTTTTCTCTCTATAGTTTTTTATTAACAATGTAACCCTAGCTGTGATCTTTTTATATTGTTATTAGCTTTCTGTAGATTCTTATTAGTTTACATAGTTAGAGCTATGTTCGCTCCGTCTTTTATGATTGTTTGGAATGTTTTTTCTTATTCGTTTCTATATGCCTTCTGGTTTCATTTTGTTTAAATTTGTCGTTTTGAGGTGGGGTTTTATTAATTATTTCGTCACTTTTTAGTTTGATTTGTTTGTTTTTCGTCGGTTTTGCGTCATGATTTATTATATCGCGCCGTGAAAATACATTTTGATCGATATTTTTCGATGCGACTGTGTGAATCTCGTCATAATTTATGCACCACGCCACGATTTTTAATATGATTTTCTGATCTGTTTAGGGTTTTGTATTTTGTTTGGTTTTATTTGTTCGATTTTGCCTTTTTTGGGGGTTTCGACTATTTCTAGTATTCATATTTTGCGTCGCATTTTGGGGTTCTTTGCGCCACAATTTGGGTTTTTTCGTCGATATCTTGCCGCCGCCGCGAAAATATCCTTTTTCGTCGATATCTCGTCGCGATTATCATATTGCGCCACACTTTTATTGTTCGAAGTTTTGTTTGTTTGGTTGTTGAAGGTATTTGCCTCTATTCGTTGATTGGTAATAGTTTGCTTTTATTACACTTTTCTTTTATTATAATTTCCTTTCCATTATGAAACCTAATCGAAGGTTTTATTACATTTTTCTTTTGTTGTCGGAGCTCTTGAAAACCTTGGTCGTCAAAATTTTCCTACTCTTGTTATTCTTAATGTTTCCGATTGAATTCATGTTTTTTTTCCGTTGATTTTGAAAGCTTCTTAAAAAAGGTTTTATTATGTTGAATGATTGGTCTAATCTACGTCGTCCTATTAAACCTTAAAAAAAGTTTTTTGTTTTACTTTTACAAGAATATCGTTTTATGTAAAGAGCAATTATAATGTTTTTGTCTTACCTTCTTGTTATGAACATGGTTTGTTAAGGGTTTTAATAGTTTTTTTTATTTAAGTTTAGTATTACAAAAAATATAGATGTTATGTTTCATTTGGTATTATTAAAAAATGAGATTGTTTTTTTAAGGTTTGGTAAATTTAGTTGCAACTTCCACTTCCGCTAGTATCATTTGATCCATATTAGTTTCAACAATATTTAATTTGGTTTTATTTTAGCGTTCTTGTTCCGATTTGAGTTCTTTTGTTTGTTTTTGCAGTTGTAGCTTCCATTTCCGATTCGGGTTTGTATTTGTTTGGTTATATTTGCTTTTGTTCTATTTTTGCTTCGCATCTCTAATTTACTTTTATTTTTCATTGGGTTTTGTTTTTGTTTCAATGTTGTTGTTTGGCAAACTCTCAATGTTTATTGCTCAAGCATTGTGAGTTTGAGGGAGGGAAAGAGAATAAGGAGGATTGAGTACATTAGTTTAATAAAATTGAATAAGGAGGATTGGTTACATTAGTTTAGTGTAATGCATATTTGCATATTGGGTTTTCTTTGTTTGGCTGTTGTCGGTATTATCTTTAGTGTTCGTTTTGTTTTGACTGCTTTTATGCAGATTGTTTGGTTTTGGCTGTCTCCGTGTAAATTGTTTGGTTTTGGTTGTCTTTATGCAGATTGTTTGTTTTTTTGGATGTTTTCGTGCAGGTTCTTTGGTTCCGCTGCTTCTCTTGAAGATTGTTCGGTATTGTTGCTTCGATGAAGATTGTTGGCCGCTACAGGAATGTATATTGTTTGGTTGCTTGCGGATATGAATGTTTGCATAGCACACTCAGATTCTCATTTTCGTTTCTTTGAAGACAAACTCTCAATGTTTGTTTCCACCGTATTGTGAGTTTGAGGGGGGGGGGGGGGGGGGGGGGGGGGGGGGGGGGGGGGGGATATTAGCATAATAATATTTTGGGCTCTTTTTGTATTAGGCCTTATGTTAGGCCATTAGCTTGATTAACTCTAGACTTATTTGTCTTTCATTGTATTGTACAGTTATCTAGCAACAATGTAACCCTAGCCGTTTTCTCTCTACCGTTTTCTATCAATAATGTAACCCTAGCCGTTTTCTCTCTATATTATTATTACTTCTTTGTAGATTCTTATTAGTTTACAGGCATTAAATAATAGGAAGAGGACTTGGATCGTTATCGGTTTACCCAATGAGAGAAAACTCAGTTGGATAAACAAGTTTATAAATTAAGTACAAATCTAATGGCGAAATTAAGCGGTATAAAACAAAGTTTGTTATTAAGTATTACAATCAAAGAGAAGGTTTGAATTTTAATGAAATCTTCACTCCAGTTGCTAAACTTGTAACTGTAAGATGCATATTTTGTATGATTGTTAATCTTAACTTTAATTTATATCAAACTTGATGTTATAAATGCTTTTTTTTTTTTTGTATAGATCTCTTAAATAGGATGTTTATATGTATTTTTTTAAGAGATGATAAACATGTGTAAATTAGTAAAGTCCTTTTATAGGTTATAGGAAATGGAACAAAAAATTGACTTCATCTTTGATTGAATTTGGTTTTGCTCAAAGCAAAAAATGATTATTCTTTTTTCTTTCTAAATTTAGATGAGGCATTTCTAGATTTTTGTTTGGTATATGTTGATGATATAATTTTAACCGGTAGTTGTAGAAGTGAAGTTTCAGTTGTCAAAACGTTTTTAAGAACTAAGTTTTTAATGAAGAAAACGTGTATTTTGAAAACTTAAAAACTTAGTTCTTAAAAACTTAGTTGTTGCCAAGATATACAAGTTGCAAAGAAAGGGACGAGAGTGATTTAGGGTTTTCTCTAACTGGGATGATGAGTTATGAGAAACCTCGTACATACATAAGAAAATAGTCAGCATGTATCAAGTACAGTGTTTGTCGCATAAGATCAAGAGGAGTATTAACCAATTTATATGATCAAAGCTCAAACTACTTCATTTTTAAAATTCATACTACATTAGTTGTTGCCTTAAAAATGAAGTAGTTTGAGCTTTGATCATATAAATTGGTTAATACTCCTCTTGATCTTATGCGACAAACACTGTACTTGATACATGATGACTATTTTCTCATGTATGTACGAGGTTTCTCATAACTCATCATCCCAGTTAGAGAAAACCCTAAATCACTCTCGTCCCTTTCTTTGCAACTTGTATATATTGGATTCCAATATTTTCTGAGTCTGGCATTTGTTTACTATGAGTTTTGTGTACACACTGTGTGTGAGAGTTGTATTTTAGGTTTAGTTAATAATATTGTATAGGTTAGAGTGAGATTTCTGACATGTAAAAGTATCCAAAGATCCTTTACCAATAAGAGATTATTTATTTTCCTTCATCTGTCCGAGTTTGAGATGTCAGAACAGAAACCAAGAGCTTATAAAAATTATGAGACGATAGAGGCATCAATTAGGATAATATATATATATATATATATATATATATATATATATATATATATATATATATATATATTTTCTATTATGTTTCAAAACTTGGGAGCCATGTATTTTGTAGTTTATGTGACTATTTTAAATAAGAGTGAAAATGTCAAAATTTTGCATACTTCCGTTGGTAAGGTAAGATAGCTCTCAGTCGTCCATTTCTGTAGTTGTCACCTGCTCATTCGTTAACAATAACATAAAATTAAATTAGTCAAAACAATATCTTTAATCAATCCCACTACAAAAATAAAAATAGTTTGACTACAAAATATTAACCTTATCATCAATGACTGCTGTTATATTTTACTGACATGGCTTTCAGCTGCTTCTTCAGCTGCCTCAGACTACAAGTATCATTATTATTATTTGAACTCTTAGCATCTTCTTTTTCATTCTCTTCAACTACAACAACCTGTGGTTTATTTATATCCTTGTTGTCTGAATCCTCAGTCTTAATCCTTATTGATGTTGGAGGTGGGCTATTAAGTAAAGTTGCTTTCAGTTTCTTCTTTAACTGCCTTATACTATTTTTATCAAATACACTCTTAGCCTTAGCCTTCTCATCCACATCCACATCCATATCCACTACAACTTCTTTTTCATTCTCTTCAATTATGTTGTCTGAAACCTCAGTCATTTTAATAAAATCATCATTTGCATTTGTTGAAAATTGATGGTTGTGTTCTTCTTCAACAAGAGAAACATGAGCTACTGATGACTCATGTCTTGTTTCAACACCAATCTCCTCCATTAAAGACCCCTGTGCTTCTCCAGCATCAGGGACTTCAAAATCCATGCTCACCTCTTCTTCCTTGTTGGGATTCACAAAATCAACTTCTGAATCTGGTTTTAGATTATCAACTTCATTCATCACAACATTCACAACCTTCTCAATCTCTGAATTTTCATCCAAAACAACATCATCATGTTTCTCTAGTATGGAATTACCCAAATCATTCACAATCCCTAAGGGTTCACTTGTTGTATCCTTGCTTACAGTGTCTTGGGGAGTTGATTTAGTCACCAAACTCTCGTTTTTTGCAATATCTTCATCTTCACACTCAGTGAGTTGACTCGCCACATCATGGCAAGAAGAAGGTGATAAAGCCTTCTTTCTGGTGCAGGAAACCAATGGAGTTTTCAGGACTTCTACATCAGCCATTATTTTTGCCTTTTTCCGGGTAACCCTAGGTGATGTAACCTCAATCCTTTCAGGAGATTCAATTGACAACTCAGCAGTTTCAGATCTTGAAGGATTCAAAATCTCTTCAACCTAATAACGTATAACAAAAACAAGTGTTTCTAAATCAATAAAACCAATTTTATATGTATTACAGCTCCACAAAAAAGATATGATAGACATTACCTCGTTTAAAGATTCTTGTGGTTCTCCATCTTCACCTTCAAAACTCATGTTCGCCTTTTGCTTCTTGGGATTCACAGAATCAACTAATAGTACCACAGAAAATGTAGATGAGGAAAAATCTCATTTTGAAGGAAGTAAAAGCAAAAGACTTTTAAATATTTGGAGACAAGAATTTTGAAACTTACCCGTATTTCTGGAGATATTCTCCTCTATACCCTCTGCATTCATCACCTCAACAGCATCAAGATTATCTAATTTTGAGGGCTCAATTGGATTGCATATGCCTTCTAAATCTGATTTTAGATTGTCCACCTGGACACTTTTCTCCTCAAGTTGCTCAAAGACTTCAACTAACTTCACCTTTAAATTCTCTACCTCCTCACAACAATCTACCTTCTCTTTTCCACTTTCAAATGCAGTGTCCACATGCACAACCTTTTCAATCTTTGAATCTTCATCATTTTCATCCAAAACAATAACATCATGTCTCTCTTGAGATCTTACACCTGCCCCTTGAGATGTCTTTGCAATTAACCTTGTGGATCTTCTTGTGCTGTAAGCTCTCTGTACAGATGTAGTAATATCCTTTTTCACAGTTTCTTTATGAGTTGATTTTGTCACCTTCATCTGGCTATAAGTTTCCACAGGTGTATTTGGTATGCAGTTCTTCTCATGATTCACTAAACTCTCATTTTTTGCAATGTCTTCACACTCCTTCAGTTGATTTGCCACGTCATGGAAAGAAGAAGTTTCTGGATCCTTCTTTCTGGTGCAGGAAATCAATGGAGTTTTCAAGACTTCTTCATTAACATCAATTTTTGCCTTTTTCCGAGTAACCCTGGGTGAAGTAACCTCAATCCTTTTGGTTTCACAACTTGAAGGATTCAGAATCTTTTCAACCTAATAACGTATAACAAAAACAACTGTTTCTAAATCAATAAAACCAATTTTATACTATGTATTACAGCTACAGAAAAGATATGATAGACATTACCTCAATTAAAGATTCTTGTGGTTCTCCACCTTCACCTTCAAAACTCATGCTCACCTTTTGCCTCTTGGGATTCACAAAATCAACTAATAGTTCCACAGAAAATGTAGATGAGGAAAAATCTCATTTTGAAAGGAAGTAAAAGAAAAAGACTTATACACTTTGGTTAAAATTTATAATGTTGTGCACAAGTAACATTTTATTTATATATCTACATAAATCTAAAGACTAATTATTTGAGCATGTATGTATGGTATATTTTTCCTTTTTCAAGTGTTGTCAAGAAAGCAATCAAGACTTTAAGAGACATGAGGTTGATGGATTTTTGGGGCTCAAGATTTTTAAATATATGGAGTAGAGAATAATGAAACTTACCCGTATTTCCGGAGATGTTCTCCTCTATACACTCTACATTCATCACCTCATCAACATTATGATTATCCAATTTTGAGGGCTCCAGCTCAGTGAGTTCACTTGGATTGCAGATGCCTTCTGCACCTGATTTTAGATTGTCCACATGGCCACTTTTCTCCTCAAGTTGCTCAAAGACTTCAACTAATTTCAACTTTAAATTGTCTATCTCTTCACAACAATCTACCTTCTCTTTTTCATTTTCAAATGTAGTGTCCACATGCACAACCTTCTCAATCTTTGAATTTTCATCACTTTCATCCAAAACAATAACATCATGTCTCTCTTGTAAGGGCTTACCCAAATCCTCTTTAGATGTTACACCTGCCCCTTGAGATGTCTTTGCACCTAACCTTGTGGATCTTCTTGTGCTGTAAGCTCTCTGTACAGTAGTAGTAGTTTCCTTTTTCACAGTTTCTTTATGAGTTGATTTAGTCACCTTCATCTGGCTATATGTTTCCACAGGTGTATTTGGTATGCAGTTCTTCTCATGATTCACTAAACTCTCATTTTTTGCAATAACTTCACACTCCTTCAGTTGATTTGCCACATCATGGAAAGAAGTTTCTGGATCCTTCTTTCTGGTGCAGGAAATCAATGGAGTTTTCAGGACTTCATTAAGCTCAATCTTTGCCTTTTTTCGTGAAGAAGTTCTAGAGCTTGTGCGAGGAACCCTAGGTGATGTAATCTCAATTCTTTCAGGCGATTCAATTGACAATCCGACAGTTTCTGTTCTTGAAGAATTCAAAAACTCTTCAATCCCTTCCACCTGATAATGTATTTACAAACATCAGTCTCCAAATCAACACCAAAAAAATTATATGTAAATGGTTACTGATTAGATGCGGATGAAATGGAGTTCCAAAATACGAAAATGCAGAAACCAATTATATAAAAATGAAAAACTCGCTATCACAAGATATATGAAAACATTAGTCATTAAAATACATAAAACGCATGATTCAACTATAAGAACAGAAAAGATGCAGAATCGAATTTGATTGAAATCAATTAACTAACCGTCTTAAGAGATTTGAGAGCCTCGACCATGGCAATGCTGGTGATGTTAGCAGGGATTTTGTTGAGCTTACAGAGAGCTTGAAGTTCTCTTCTGTTAAGGGTTTGGAAATCCATGACTAATCTATTAGCGAACTGGGATAAAATTAGGGCTTCAATTTGAAGAAGTTCGATCGAACATGAATGAGAAACTCAAAATGCAACGAGGAGGCGCGCAAGCATAGAACGACATTTATATATCAAAGCATCAAACCCTTGTCCGAACTGCGAGTGTTACATCATTAAAAACATATGATTTTTGTTCGGAATAAAAAAGAAAAAATGTACATCTTTTGAATATTATATAACCTTTACAAATAGGGCTGTAAAATAAAATTTAAAAAACTATAATAAAATGTTTGATCGTGGACTGACATTTTAAATGTAAGAAACCTTATTCGTTCATCGCGTTTTTTTGGTCTTTTTTATGTTTTTCTGAGTGAAATCTTTTTTGAAAACATGTTCAGATGCTTCGTATCAAGTTACTTCGTGCATGTAGCACTCGAGGTTTGTCGTTGTTATTGATAATTATAAATTAAAAAAAGAAAAAACTATAAATCTATATTTGAATGGTGTTTGGGAATACTTTTTAAATGACTTTTGTCTTTTAACTTTTTTTTAAAAAGTTATAAAGATGTTAGGAAGATGTAAAAGTTCTTTTCAAAATAATTTTTTGTAAATAAGAAAAGAGTGGGTTTTCAAAAGGTGTGATTTTTTGTAACTTTTGGACTTTTAAAGCTAAATCACACTCAAAAGTCAAAAAATACTACTCAAACACTTTTTAAAACCCACTTTTGACTTTTGTTTCCTCAAAAGAACTTTTACAAAAAGAACTTTTACAAAAAGAACTTTTAAGCTTAAAAAGTAATCTCAAACACCCCATTGGTATACGTTTGAAAGTATATAATAATAATATACTTTAGTCAAATTATTTTTAAGAAAAATAATAACAAATAGTATTTATCGTTTATTATGTTATTTGTGCTAAGATAGGCACGCATTAAATCATTTTTTATCTATATTACAAACAAATATAAATATAAGCATAAGGTAAAATAAAAATGCTAAGAAAATATGATATCACTAAGCAAAATTATTTAATTGGACACATGTAACATACAAGACGAATACATCATTCATTTTAATTACCAAGAAGATGAAAACATATTATGATCACTAGATGTAAAACCCGTGTAATATACGTGTTTATTAAAAATAAAAGTTTAATATAAAATTGTAAACATTACGTATTTTTTAAAGTAATATTTTTACATAAATAAAAAGGATATGGTAATGAATAAAATAACTAATTCAATATATACTAATAAAAATTATTGACATATTTTAAAAAATGATGTCGAAAATTAAAATGTAAACATTAAACATTTTTTTAAAATAAACTTTCGAAATAAAGCAAACAAAATGATAATAAGTAGGTAGTTGAATGTATACTAAAAACTATTGACATATTGACATGGTGGCAATGTTTTAAAAACTTGTTTGAATCGGTCGATCGAATCGGTTGGACCGAGAAGCGGGGAAGGGAGCGGTTCAATTATCACTGGTTTTACGCTTATTTCTGAACCGGAACGAACCGGCCAGTTTTTACAAAAATCCGGTTGAACCGGTTAAATTAAACAGGTTGAACCAAGTAAAAACACATGAAAAATAACCATTTTGCATAAACTTTGATGGTCCTTTTCAAATTTAGTTGAATTTCTCTAAATAAAAACATATAGTAATATAAAGTTTTTTTATGCGTTTGTATTCATCTATAACTATATTTTGCTTTGGTATTATACTTTATTTTCTTTTTGATGTATGTGAATTGATGTAAATTTTATGTGGATTGATGTAAATTTTATGGTTATTTATTATATTAATGTATTTTGATTGATCTACAACTTGTTTTTATGTGTTATTTTAATGTTTGAACTTATAGACGTCAAATTCTTGATTTATGTATGTATGTAAATGTAGGAAAATAGGACAAATATGAAATTTATAGAAATCGGTTGAACTGGTTAAACTGACTGACCAAAACCGATCACTATACCGGTTCAACTAAAAACCGAGTTTTATAACATTGGATTTTATCTAAATATAATTTTATATGTTTGCGTTTGTCTTTAGGGTCGTTTGAATCCATATTATGTTTGTATCCTTAAAACAATAATACTTCCTAAAATAAATTATGATGAAAAAATGTTATCAAATTTTAAAAGTTCAATTATTAAAATGGAGACATTATAAATTTAAATGTGTGGCTTTATAAAAATATTGTTAATCACAACACATTTTACATGACTTAAGTTTAGTAAAATGTAAATTCACATTTTATTTATATATATATATATATATATAGAGAGAGAGAGAGAGAGAGAAAAAGAGAGAGAGCTAGTTTCATTTGTTTAAACTAATTATTTTGTTATTGCATGCATAAATGTGGGTCAATCAAAATTAAATAAAAAGTTAAATAAATAAATAAATGAATAAGGGTAATTTAGTAATTTGTTTAGTAACTTCTAATAATAATCTCTATAATCATGGTATTTACTTTTAACCTAAATAAATAAGCTAGTCGTCGTTACTTCCGAATTCATCTCACTCAATAAATTGGGAAGCCCTAGATTCTATGGTCATCGAATTCGCCAAATCGGAGAACTTAATCGAAGATTCATCTCCTCCTGCTTCTCCATCTTCATGTTCCTCTTCTTCTTATCAGTATCGTGTACTGATTCTCCCAAATCAGACGTTTATTGCAATTCAGTGATATCGATTCCGCCATTGATCTCTTGCATCTCCATGCTCCTTCCGTTCTCGATGATCACCGCCTTCTTTTCCGTCTACAGAAGCAGGTAAAGGATGTGCTTTTTCGATTTGAATGTTGTTCAAAAAGATTGAATAATAATTTGGGGGTGAAATGCTAAGAATTTGGTTGTATTTTGATTGTGAAGAAATTTATTGAGCTTTTGAGGAAAGGAACTGAAGAGGATCGTAATTCTGCAATCAATTGCTTGGGGTCTGCACTCGCTCCTAGCGCTCTCGACGCCTATCCTGTATGTCCTGATATTCTTGTTGTTTTCTGTAAACATCAATTGATCCTGAATATTTTTTCCATTCATTTTGCATTGTCTGATTGTTTAAAGTCAAACCTTCGTTTGGAAAGTTAGTTTGTGCTATTCTGGTTGAGCGACTTGAGGTAGTTAGAACTAGTACATGATCTATTACTTATAAGCCACAAACTGTATAAACCACAAATCCAAAAACGAACACTGGATTCCAATTCTATTTCTGGTTAAAGAAAGTCAAATATTCTTCAACTTTATGAGTGTAAAGATTGAGGTCTTTGTGTTTCTTATTTCCTGTTAAATTGTGATTGTCTTCTGCATTAGCATTTGTCTTTTTGCTATCATTGTAACTAATAACTCTCCTGATTTTAATATCCGAACTAATCCCTTAACCGTGTCTTTTTCTTTATCTGTATATATTCTCCTTGTTTTAGTTGTGACATGACTCTGTTCTTGATTCTAAGGAAGCATATGAAGAATTCAAGCATGTTCTGCTTGCATTTATATACAATAAAGATGATCAAACTTCCCCTGTGGTGAATGAGGTAGGAGTTCTCTACTTCTCTACAAACAACACTGTATTCCATCATATTCATATTTATGTTTTTTTTTCTTATTTAACACTTCATTTATGTGGACAGTGCAGGATATTGACAAGGTTGAATTCTGAAAATGTATCAAGTATGTTTATGTACATGATTCAATGGATGATATTGGTGAGATTCCAATTCTATTGAAATGGAATCACGAATTTCAATTCTGTTGGAATCACAGAAGTTGATGCTTGAAGAACGGACCACAAAATTGAAACGGACCACATTATTCTTTTAGAATGCATTAGTCGTTGTTAGATTTTGATGTTTTCTTTCCCGTTTTGAAAGTTTTTTTAGTTTTATTCTTTAACAATAAATGTAATTATTAACAATTGTTACCCATATTCTATAAGAAATAATGTATTTTTTGTTTTTATTCTTCAATTGATTGTTCAAGAATTTGTTATTCTACAAGAAGTTTTTAAATTCATGATCAAGAAATAGGTTCAAAAATATTTTTATTATTTATGGTTCAAGAATATTTTTATTTTTGAATATACCCATAAACATATTCTGTTAGAATGTCCGAATTTAAAGAATTATAATTCGTAAAATCGGATTTTTAAAATTAAATCTATATTAATTGACTAAATTACCCTTGTAATTAATTAAGATGATATTTTTCAATTATATTTAATTCAATAATATATATTAATCACTTTCTTAAAATAAGTAATTTGATTGACCCACATTTATGCATACAATAACACAATAATTACTTTGAATAGAATAACCTAAGCCTATATATATATATATATATATATATATATATATATATATATTACTTAATTGTCATATAACATATAAAAAAGATATTATATATATATATATATATAACATATAAAAAAAGATATTATAGATAGGTAAATATAAATTTATATTGAAATAAAAAAACATTACCTAAATACATGACTTAAAAATTGCTTAATGCTAATCCCTTGAACTGTATAGTTAGTACCTACCATATATAAACATTTACTAAGGAAAAAAATGGATAGAGCATTTATTCTAAAGATGACATGTAGCAAAATAATTTTCATTTATTAGGGTGGATTTGTTTAATACAACATTACCATAAAGTTAGGGTTTTTGTTTGCAAGTATATCATACATATTAGGGTAGATTTGTTTAATACCATTACCATATAATGGTATTAAATTTATAATAAAATACATTTTCGTAAACATGCAATTGATTTTAATTTTTTACAAAAATTTTGATGTATCTTTGCGGTAACAAAACTAGATATGATAGTTAAACATGTCAATACTTTACATTTAACATTTTTTTACATAAATTGAACAAATTATAAAACTTGAGTGGTAAATTTTCTATAAAAAAAAATGTTTAAGATCTCTAGATAGAGCAAGCCTAAAATTTGGTTGCTGTTTGATAAAATTGACCGTAATTTGAGCCATTCAAAAAACGTTTTGGACAATATAAAACTTTTATGTGTTAAAAGCTGGCTGAACTCGCCTATTTTGTAATCAATCCAAGCTAGGAATTTTGACTTCAATCCGATTATGTATAAGCCCAAAAAAAAATGAGCTCAAATATGATATTATTCCATTCTATTACTTTTCAAG